TTTAAATGGATGGCATAGGAAATTTATTTCAGTAAGTGTTAGATATCTGGTCAGAGATCAAAGTGATGAATCATTCCGGGTTAATTTTTTGCAATCTTTGACAGCTACTTGCTTAGATATTTCGCTGAAGAAAAAGGCTATAATTCATTTTAATACTTCAAATGTCATGCAAGAAGTAAATTGTACATGTATGCAATTTACATGTGCATGTACATATAATTATAGGGAACAGAATTTTTAACGTACTTGATACACTTGATCATTGAGCATGAATGGCATCAAAAAAACTATGAGAAAATACTTGAGGATTGGTTGATGATTGTGTTTAATCTTATTGATCTCTCAGATGTAGAGGATAGGAATGAACTCATCAAATTTATAACTACAAATGAGAAAAAACTATGGAATGATTTGGAAAGTTTGTTTTATAGACAGGTGAGATAATGATTAATTCATTAGTACACTGTACATAAATTTTTCATTAATAACACATCATGTAGTTTACTTTACATGCATAACATGCTGTTAGCAACACATATGCTGCTTCATTATTATTCACTGTATAGTTAATTCTGGAAGAAATTGTATGTACTATTGTATACTATACTACTGAAATTATTTCCCTTTGTAGTTGGAGGATTTACTATCAAAGTGGTGTCATAATTTACCTGTTGAAGACTTAATTAGTATTATTAATGTTGTGGAAAGTGAACAGTTTAACAAACCAAAGGTAAGTCACACCACAACACTTAATATGCTGCAATGAAAGCATAATGTATAAAATATAGGCATTTAATAATTATTATTTGATATGCCATGATGTGGTTCCCTCCAATTTTTCAGTTGTCATCAAAAATGTTTTGGCAAAATTTCTTGATAAACAGTAGAATGGAATTTTTCTTGTTTCAGGTACTTATGATGCTCTCAACGGAACCTAGAAACCCAATGTCTAAAGGTATTTTGACAGCTTTGTCTCAAAAATTGTTTGGTGAATCTGATGATGCATATCAGTCTAAATTTAAAGTTGATGATCGAGTGGTTATGGAATCCAGACAAGGACAACTAGTCACTGGTACAGTGAGATGGGTAGGATTAGTCAGAGCTTTGAAAATTGAGTCTAAATCAAGTGCTATTGGCATTGAAACAGTAAGTGTTATAGTATTAAATATTTGGACAAATTATACATGCTTTTGAATAGGATAATATTATTGATCCTTTAAATGATTTTCCTGGTTTGTCTCTCAATGTCACTGGAAAGCTTTTTAAGGTTTCACCAGGACATAGTTGTATTTACCTTCCTGAAGGAGTAGTGAAATACATATATGAAGAAGTTGAAGAAGAAATTAGTAATGAGGAGCTGAATCATGAATGGGAGTCCTCCCATCAGGTTAGGGAAATTAATGATTATCAACAGCATACTATTATTGCATTTTTATAGGCTGAAGGTGGAGATAATGCTCAAGATAGCAAACAAATAGTGCCTAATATTTTGAGTGATGTTCCACCTTCTTTTCGTGATGATTCGCCTCATTCCTGCCATGCAATAGTCACTAAGGAAGTCTTGCAGAAGATTGCAATAGAGAAACAAAGAGTATCTGGTATTTGTCTCAGTCAGCAATCATTATCATTTGATGGTTTCATTGCTGCTCTTCAACATGTGCATGAAAAAGATGCTTGGTTCAATACTTTCTTTGATCAACTCTTGCATAGCTGTGAAGAGCTGATTGATGCACTAGACAAATCAAGAGAAATTATAGATGACGTTAGAAAAGAGTCAAGTCAGCTAGAAGGAGTGTACCAAGAAGAGCTTTTGCAGTTGCGTGATGATTTGATTAAGAAAGAAGAAGAAAATTATCACTTAACAGAAAAAAATAATGAACTCACAGCCAGCTATCAAATGATGAAAGAAACTCAAGAAGAATTGGTTATGAAATTAGAAGATACTCGATCTACAATGATTTCTCAACAAAAGGAGCATCACAGATTGAAAGAATTGTATGATGAACTTATTGCTAGATATCAAGACATGGAGAAAAGTCATCAT